TTATTTAGTATATCTCCTTCGCCTACGAACCTTCCTATTATTGATTTTTATACGTCTTTTAATTACTACACGTCTACGGCGACGCCTTCTTTTAATTACTTTACGGCCTTTGCCTTTTTGATTATATAATGGATTAACAAAACTTAGATTAGGAGTTGAATAGCTTCTATATGTTTCATCTGGATTAGGTATAACAGAGTCCAAACTAGAAAATGCTTTTAATTTTCTATACCCCTTTTGCTTTTTACGTAAATTGCGAAAAATTGATAATTTTTTTCGTATTTTATCCATTTTAATTAAATATTTAAATTTATAGGTTACTATTATATACTATCAAGTGTAATTAAATCATTTAAACACTGATTGCTATTATAGATATTTAAAAATTTATTAAACGGAATAAAATTACATCTAGATTTAATAAATAAAATACAATATAAACCGCAATTACTTGAAAATAAGCACTGTATGATAGAATTATTATAAGTAAATTTATTAATATTATACATTTTTAAGAATTTATAAATTTGCTCAATTGGCTTCTGGCCAATGGAATCGAAATATTCTGCATTGTTATTTTTATCAATAAATAATGCCACCCAATGCTGGCCTGGTTTATGTGCTGGATCAGTATTTATAATTACACCTATTGGACGTTTCAAATACGGATGTTTTGGTAGCTTATCACAAGCAAATGTTCCTTTAAAACATGTGAGATCTTTCAGTATATTATTTATTTGATTGGTATCCATTTATATAATTTTAATATTACATGTTTACTAATATAAATTAATGATATCTTAAATTTGGCCAGCAAGCTTTTAAAAATATTTTTCTAATATATAACCCTACTATAGATGAGTATAATAGAAAAATAAAAAAACACCCACCTCGTATGGTTTAAAAGTTATATTTATAAAACTAACTTTATTTTGGATTTTTTAAAAATTTTTACTTATATAATTGATGATATCTTAAATTTGGCCAGCAAGCTTTTAAAAATATTTTCCTAATATATAACCCTAATATAGATAAGTATAATAGAAAAATAAAAAAACACCCACCTCGTATGGTTTAAAAGTTATATATATAAAACTAACTTTATTTTCGATTTTTTAAATTTTTCAACATTTAATTGATGATATCTAAAATTTGGCCAGCAAGATATTAAAAATATTTTCCTAATATATAACTCTAATATAGATGAGTATAATAGAAAAATAAAAAAACGCCCACCTCTTATGGTTTAAAAGTTATATATATCTGACCACTCCATATGTTTAGAAAATTTTAGCCTAGTATTGTAAATTAATAATAATCTACCATAACATTTCGAGTTGCATCTATTTCTACTATATTATCGTACTCACAGTACATTATAACATTTATATTTTTTGCTAATTGTGCACTAAATTTAAGATGCAATCGAATAGCTCCTGTCTGCGGAGGGTTAACATAACCTACTTTATTACAATCATCAATAGGATCAGGACCTAAATTGAACCCGTATATTGTATTTCCTTTTGCATAATTTTTATAATTAAGTGATAGAGTTGAGTCTGTTGTAAGTTGATTTAATGAATCGTATAACCCCATAAACTCTCTAGTGTAACAATTATTTGTAAAATCAGGTGAGTATGCGATTGATGGGTACTGTATACCATCAACAGACAATGATAAGTAATTTAGATTAAAATGTTCAAAATTAAATGGGTTAGTATTTAATGCCCCATTCATGGCGTCATGCTCTACTAAGCCTATGAATACACGTCTAGGTAATTGACCTCTAATGCAATTGTCTAATGTTATTTCATTTACAGAACTATTTATAAGGAAAGATCTGGCAACTCCTCTCATAATTGGGTATTTTGCAGTTCCTTTCATTAATGCTAAATTTTGCGCTTCAACTATTCTATGATTAATTTTAGATTTAGTTATATATAAAATACATTCTTTGAATTCAACATTAACGCTTAATGTATTATCTTTATTATACAAATAGAAATTTGGTTTGTTTGGATCTAGTGTAAATTTTAATTTAACTCCGCCTAATAATGCTTTTGGTTGAAATGCTAAATCTAAATTTAATTTACCCATAAGGCATATATAGTGTCCACTCCCATCTGCATGAAATGTTTTTGGAGTTATTAATTTAACTTGTGTATCTTTAAGTTCAGTTTTGTATTCTTCATCATGATACCAACCTATTGATGACATAAAACCATCTTTTGAATTATGCATATTTAACATTAGACATACGCTCATAAGGTTGCTCAATTTCAACATCACTATAATTGTATGAATTCATGATTGATAATAAAATATAAAAACAAAAATAACAAAATTATATTTTTAACACAACATGATGATAATTATGAATGGGTAAAGGTTTATAAAAATGATAAGTATATACAAAAAACTATACCTATTATTGAACAAATATTTTTTAATTATGCTTTAACATATTTACAAAAACTACACCAAATGAAACTTATATAAATACAATATATTTACAATTATATACACATATATATTACATACAATTTAATTATACTATTATAACTTTATATATATTACATACAATTATATTATACTATTATATATAAAATATGTATTTTACATTCTTATATTATTCAATAAAATGATTTTATTATTCAATATTGTATATTATTCAATAAATTGATTTATATAATTAAATTCGGAAAATTTTGTAGGGACTTCCAATTCCAAAGCCCTAGTTATCAATTTATTTTCAATTTCATTTATATTTGACAATAATTTATTCATTTCGTCAACTTCTATAAGTATTTTTCTCTCTGTATTATCAGCCCTTATCAGTGTTATTAATGTTTCAGTTAGAGTTTTATCAATTTTTATAACTCTATTTCCATGTTCAAGATTAAATATTCTTTTATCATTTGATAAAATTACATTTTTAAACCATTCAAATTCAGGCACCAATAGGCTTATACCTGCTTTAGTACGTCTTCCTTTAAATGTTTGCCGCACATCAAATACTAAACACATATCTCTGCTCTCTAATATTTGAGCAATTTTAAAATCTTTATCCTTATTATTACTTAAATTCAAAGCATGTATTGATTTCCACATGTTGAACATT